ATCCCTGTTTTTACATACATCCCCAATTAATAAAAATGCCTAATTATGAGTGTTTCTTTGTTTTGTTTTTTCAGTTTTGTGGTTTTGTTTTTTACGTGGCCAGTGGAGTGTCCTTTTAATGTATTAATCCATGTACGAATGCAGAAAATGTGTTTAAATGTTGTTACAAATCTAACTTTTTTATCAGTCGGTAGCTAGGTGCCACAAGAACAGGCCCCCATTTCCTAAACTGTATCAAGAATTGAATGGAGCCAGCCAGTGGAAGCTTATTGGATGTTTTCTAGTGGAACTTTAGGGGTTATTCAATAATATTATTGTCAAATTATAGTGAATTCAAAACTGATCTCCATCTAATAGACAATATGGACAAACGTATTTGACCTATTAAACAACTGACCAAAATAACAAAAAAATAGCTCCACTGACTCAAATAGTGACATACAACACTATGAATAAATGATAAAGTAAAATTGTGAGTATACAAGAAAGTAAAATTGGGGATATAAACATAGAATGTGACGGCAGATAAGAACCATTCGGCCCATCTAGTCTGCCCAATTTTCTAAATACTTTCATTAGTCCCTAGTCTTATCTTATAGTTAGGATAGCCTTATGCCTATCCCACGCATGCTTAAACTCCTTTACTGTGTTAACCTCTACCACTTCAGCTGGAAGGCTATTCCATGCATCCACTACCCTCTCAGTAAAGTAATACTTCCTGATATTATTTTTAAACCTTTGTCCCTCTAATTTAAGACTATGTCCTCTTGTTGTGGTAGTTTTTCTTCTTTTAAATATAGTCTCCTCCTTTACTGTGTTGATTCCCTTTATATATTTAAATGTTTCTATCATATCCCCCCTGTCTCGTCTTTCCTCCAAGCTATACATGTTAAGATCCTTTAACCTTTCCTGGTAAGTTTTATCCCGCAATCCATGAACCAGTTTAGTAGCCCTTCTCTGAACCCTCTCTAAGGTATCAATATCCTTCTGAAGATACGGTCTCCAGTACTGTGTACAATACTCCAAGTGAGGTCTCACCAGTGTTCTGTACAATGGCATGAGCACTTCCCTCTTTCTACTGCTAATACCTCTCCCTATACAACCAAGCATTCTGCTAGCATTTCCTGCTGCTCTATTACATTGTCTGGCTACCTTTAAGTCATCAGAAATAATCACCCCTAAATCCCTTTCCTCAGATGTTGAGGTTAGGACTCTATCAAATATTCTGTACTCTGCCCTTGGGTTTTTACGTCCAAGATGCATTATCTTGCACTTATCCACATTAAATGTCAGTTGCCACAATTCTGACCATTTTTCTAGTTTACCTAAATCATTTGCCATTTGGCTTATCCCTCCTGGAACATCAACCCTGTTACATATCTTAGTATCATCAGCAAAAAGACATACCTTACCATCAAGACCTTCTGCAATATCACTAGTAAAAATATTAAAGAGAATGGGTCCAAGTACAGATCCCTGAGGTACCCCACTGGTGACAAGTCCAAGCTTCGAATATATTCCATTAACTACAAACCTCTGTTGCCTGTCACTCAGCCACTGCCTTATCCATTCAACAATATTGGAATCCAAACTTAAAGATTGCAGTTTATTGATAAGCCTTCTATGTGCAACAGTGTCAAAAGCCTTACTGAAATCTAGGTAAGCAATGTCTACTGCACCACCCTGATCTATAATTTTAGTTACCCAATCAAAAAAAAAAAAATCAAAAAAAAAAATATATCATTTAAAGATCTAAAAGCATGTCTGTCTCTTTCCCCCATGCTGTGGATGAGAAGACTTCCAAGAACACTGGGTTTTAGGAGAGTAATTCACCGTTTGCGTTTTAGGAGAGAGGACTCTTAATGTTCGTGGCGTCATGCCTCATGATGGGTGTTCAATAAAGCGTATCTTCACAGAGCATCTAAACAGGTCCGTGGGGGTCTGATTTATCTTTAGATCAAGTTAAGCACCTGTGTTGTTTACACCTCACACTGCATTTTAGTTTTGGACATTTTAAAAGGCTTTGTTGTGCCTCTACAAATTTTGTTGAATAGTGAACTGCTATTATTTTCACATAATAGAGAATGCAACACTTTGCCACATTTTATTTTACTTTTGCTGTTCGAGGCTGCATAGGACTTACAGAGTTAATTAGAATTTCTCTTTTTGGTATTTTATACTCTTTCTTATTATTGGTTTATTTGGTTTATTGAGCTTTTTGAGCTCAGAGTTTTTGAGCTCTGGACTCCTAGGGAAGTGTATCTGTCTATCAATCTGCTTTTAGATCTTTAGTAGAAAACCCCCAAATTTTACTTTAATTGACCTTTTAGTAAGCAATTCAGCAATTTTGTGTTTGCAAAATATCAAGAAGGAGATAGTGGATAGGAAACAAAGAAAGTCTGTTTCCCAACATCTCATCCACATATTTAATTCCTAATACATTGATTTCTCCTTCAGTAATCATGACCACATGTGCATGATAGGCAATCTGGTCTAATAATAAATGCTAATTACCAAGCCCTGTTACTAATTCTGTTAAAACTTAGTGCTGTTAAAGTAGACTTGCTTCCAGATGGATGTTGGTCAGTCAACTATTCACTGAGCATCTCTGAGCTTCCTTTAATTTGCCTTAGCTTATCCCAACTGATTTCAATGGATGAGTTCATGGGCTTAGTATTGGAAAGTTATACTTACCTAGTGCCAACAAGTTTCCCTAAATTGAGCAACATATTAAAAATCTTCATATATTTAGCATTGAACTCACTGTATGGTTTCTGCCTGAGAGAGGTCTATGTTTAGGTTTCAACAAAGGGACAATATTTGAGAGTGTGTACAGGCGACCTGTCAGTTTGATTTTAAATCATATATTAATGAAGGATTGGATGTTAACCCAGTGGATCAATGACAACCACAACATGAAGCCCCATTTTCAGAATTTTCTATCTAAGACTGTACAAATTAGCCTAATTCTTCGTTCTCTGAGGGTCAATAAACTGCCTTTATTCTAACATTCCATACTCTTTTATTACAAGCATTATATTTTATATTGAAGGTATTTGAAGATATTTGTAAAAGACATTTGACATTTGTAAAAGACATTTGTTGTTGCCCATTAATTACATCTAAACGCCACATTCAGAGTACTTTTATATTGTACTGCTATTTTATTGTTTTTTTATTTTCTAGATATAACAGTGTATTTTTATTAACTTTATTTTATAATAAATTGTTCCCATTTTTTCCATTCATCCACTGTATCCTGTATAAGTGATTCAAAGGGAGGGGCAGTGTCACCCCAAAATTTGACACTGGGCAAATATACTTGGAGCCGGTTACCAAGGGCTCTAAAAAAGGTGAGCGTTTCTATTTTTACCTATACGGACATCATTTCCTTTTTTGAGATGCTACACTTAGTATAAAATATCTGTGTCTTTTATATATCCGGTGGAGAATATTCATATCTTCCTTGGGAGAGAGGGGTCGTGTGATCTACCCAAAAAGACACAGACGTGCAGAAGTTTAGAGCCTAATACTAGAAAAGGCTCTAATAAATAAACGATAAAGGGTAAGAGTTCCAAGATTTAGTGAACACACTTACCTAAGCACTTATATAGCGCTGCTCTCACTTAAAGTACTTTAGATTTGGATGGTGGTAACATCATCCAAGTCAAAAAGTTTCTTTGTGTTTTGGTGATTGTCTATGTGTGGTGGGTAATTAGGAGTACCCACAGAGTGTATACAGCAGCTGTACTATATCTTCTTTTATTTATAACACAAAGCGCCATTTATTCCACACTTTTTCGTGTATATTCAATTTCCTGCCACATTCAGAGTGCCTATAATGTAAATTCGACTTTGGACATTTCTTCAGCTTACCGATAGTTATTAACAAATTGCCAAACTTACAATAACCTCTTTTTGCAACCAGTGTTTTTCAGTTAAACCCAATATCCAGAATTATGGCAAACCCCAATTATTGTAACTCTGATTTGTATTACTTAAACATTTTTCCCATCCTACCTTAACTGTAAGATATGGAGAAAAGTGTTATAATATGAATACAGTAAAAATGCAGTACAAATACAGTAAAAGGCTAAGATAGGCGTAAAAGATTTTATTAAGTATCGGCAAGTATGCCACAATACTCCTGGGTATCGCATGGCCTCCAGTAAATATACATATAAATATGTTCATGTTCAAAGCCACAGATCGATAGAAGAGGGATATTTTTGTGTAGATTGCCTTGCAGACATTCTCATCTCACTGCTGGTCTCCAAAGATTTAAGTCAGCAAAACTTTGCCTAAAATTTGCATGTTAATTAAAAGTACAGCATTCTGCAAAGATTGGGAAAAAAAAGGGCTGAGCGATCAAGGTTTAAGCAAACCTCTCATTTGGAACAAAAGGTGTATATTATGTATATGTCTCTGTTTGCCAAGACTTGAAAATAAACAATGCTAGCATACAAAGAAATATTTTTGAGAAAATCAGTTATACCTGTAGATATAAAACAAGTAGGCCGTCATTTAAATAAATAAAGGGTCAGAAGGCCTTTAGTTAATCTCCAGTTTATTCAGTGATCCTGAATATCTTCTGGAGCACACCAACCCTGGAATACCTGGTTTACTTTGTTTCAAAAGTGAAGTTCTAAAAAGTCCCCATACACATATATATATATATATATATATATATTTTTTTTTTTTTTATCTGTATATATATATATATATATTTAGCCACATGCAGACATAGTTTAGAAATGCTTAAGATATACCTGTTAGCATGATATTTGAGTGTGTTTTATATTTTTGGTTCTGCGCAATCAATATAGAGTACTTCTGCAATACTGCAAGTATACAGTATAATCACTAAAATTGTATATTCTCCCCATATTTCTGTAACATATTAAAACAATAGTGAAAATAAATTATGTTTCTTTAAAGGATTTTATATTTTTGTTTTTCAAACAGCGATCTATAAATCAAAGTGATTTTTGTAATGCATACACCATTCGAAGCATCCTATGTTTCAAATAAAATAATACTCAAAGTCTTTCTCCCCATCCAAACATCACACATAAAAATATGTTTTTCATTTTTGGAGAAAGAATTTCTGTGCATCACCTCGCTATGTGAAGCTTTAAAAAAGCAAACACCTCCGTAAAAATTGGGTAATTCATTAATTAGGTAAGTTAGAACCTTAGCCATTAATTAATGAATGCAAGAGTAATTAATCTGGTGTCTATTCACCAACCAGCAAGCTGTGAGCCTGCCTGCTAAAGTCAAGGCGAAAATACATTTAGAATAACAGAAATACACAATCTGGGTTCAAGATTTTTCTCCGTCCTTCAATATTTTGATGAATTGGTTCTCAAGTCAACGCAACTAGCTGTTTAAAGAATAGATTGCAATAGAACACTTTGGCAGAAAATAGAGAGAGAGAGAGAGTGTGTGTGTGAAGATAGAAAGAGAGAAGAAAGAGCAGGATCAATGATACATAATTATTGTATATTTTTGCCAATAATTACCAAATTTCTAACAATGAATTTTCAAGTGCAACCCTTTATAGTGTGAATCAAGAATATTTCAAGGTGGTAGTTGATGTCCTTTAATAATAGGAGCTTTTATCTTAAGAGATGGTGGGTTGAATGCACATAGCAGTCTTGCAACAAAATGGGAAGAAATAAGATGTTTGGGTGTGCAATAAGCACTACTCCATGAGAACAGCGTGCTAATAAATGTTAAATAAAAGAACCTTAAATACAGAAATATAGTCAAAATGGTACTAAAAATGCAATGGAGCATACATAAATATACCTTGTTGGCAGCATCACCCTTTAATATTCATCCTGATGCTCAACAAATTAAAATAATTTGTTATATATAAAGTACAATTGTCAAATCTACATTTATTTTATAGTTTCATAGATAAATAGCAGCTGACGTTACCACTCAAATAACATTACAGCATTAATAAAACTCTGGATGCAATGTTGTTTAACAGGGGGGAACATCATTGGTAAAGTTTTGAGTTCTGAATCCAAATATAGCTATTTATGGCTCTATTTCCATGTATGTAGGTTCCCTCCATATTACTATATTATTTTCGCATTTATCATCAATTTTTTAAAAATATATCTGCTTCATAATTTCTTTCCACTCGTAAATCACAGCCCCTGGAGTATCCCAATTTTTGAAGTGGGGTCCTGATAATAGACTTCTATTCCATTGACCTACTTTTTCCTGGTGGAAAATAATAATAATAATTATTGGCATTTATATAGTGCCAACAAATTGCATAGCGCTTTACAATAGTACAAGGGCATTTAACAATAAATGAGACAATTATAAAAACTTACAGGAACTATAGGCTGAAGAGGACCCTGCTCAAACGAGCTGGAATCAAACGCAGGACTAGTAGGGAAGCATAAAACTGCTTTGAAACAAAAGCATACCTTCCAATATTTCCAAAATAGCTGGCATGGGACTCTAGAGATTGGAATGTGTTAGTGAAATGGTGGTCAACAGTGCACGCACGTTTTTAACCCAAGCGTGCATTGCAACGTGTTCCTTAATCTGGTTTCTGATAGTGTTAATAATGGAACAAACCAGTTAACAGTAACTTGTCCCCACAATATCCTGCTGCAACTAGGCAATAGAGAGAAAAAGGTGTAATAAAGTGAAATTGGTCCACCAGAATCAAGACTGTTCTACCCAAAATTGGGCGTTTGGAAGGTATGAGTATTTGGCTAGCTCTCTCTGTATGCTATGTATTCAGAGCTCTCTGTATTCAACATAATGGCATGCATTTTTTAAATCCAGAGGTTTTTTTTAAAACCCAACATCTAATAATGACCGTAGAAAAAAGCATTATGTCAGCATCAAAGCTTTTTTTTTATCGGCTCAGCCAATCTTCTGTCGAGGAGCCTGCTGTTTTATTGAAAGTGGCTTGTGATAAAGACAATAAATGCAATTAAATAATCAGTCACTTCCCCTGCCTGCAGTCACAGTCCATTCATTTATATTTCTCCATTCAAAATAAAATAACATCCTTGGATGCATTTTCCATTGGTCGTTCTTGTTCTTTCTTCTTGTTGTATCGTGCGTGTTGATAATAATAAATGACTCCTATTGTGGCGATATTTAGAAATATACACGGGAGAAGCAGCCAATATGAATATCCATATGTGTTTTCACTTTTATGATACTGATCAGTGCTTTGATCTAATACTTGTGCAAGGTATTTCGGCATTTGATTTGCCTCTGTGTTAGAAGCAAATAAAACCATTGCAAGTAGAACGGCAAAACCTAGGAGGAAAAAACATAAAAGTTATTTAAGCAAAAACATTTTGGCAAATGTTACAAAAAGTCTAGTTGTATAGTTACTAATGTGTTTTCACGTGTCTTTAGTTTTCTTTTGTCCTGTCACTCTGTGACTATGGACTCTCTTTACCAATACACGAGTAGTAGTATAGACAATCACAGACGATTTAGATAGAAGAGCATCCATTATATAAGGTATGTACCAGTAAGTGCAACCTTTAGAAGAGACTCCCCTAAGTATCAAAACCAAAACTATACATCAATAATCAAGATGCACCCCAATGCCACTGCTAAATTTAGCTTTATTTATAAATCAATAATACATATACCAAACATATACCAAACATATAACAAACATATAAAAGGGCAAATAAAAGACATTAAACACATATAATCATGTATATAAATGGGCTACCAGAGCGAGACACAAGGTCATTTTCAAGGAGTCAGGCTATTACATCACTCATAATATTAATTATCTATTTAAAGGGGGGAATCGTCAATATTATAATTTTAATATTATGTATATTTATCCCTTGTATTTAACAAATATGTGTTGGTGAGGGCTGAAACACATTGTGCTGTTTACCTCCACCCTGTAACTGAATGCCTTTGTCTTTGCTCACTGTCAATCATCGTTACAAGCCCTGTCGCATACACTTGTCAGTCAGCATAGAAACACAATATTTATGTTTCTCCTCCTCTGTTGCAATTTGTGCCGTGGCTATGCAGGACTGAAAAGGATTGTAATGCCAAGTGCAAATTTTTTAAGAAAATGTTCAAAGTTAATAGAGCGTTATATTAAAAAAAAAAAAAAAAGACTAAGACAAGTTATAGGTGACTTGCCAGGGTGAGGAACCAGTGGTAAGATACAACAAAGTAAGATACAACAAACTCTTGTGTGTAGGTAGAGGGTAACTGTGTATGGACATAAAACTTTACCATTTGATCCCCACCATTTATTCCCGAAATGAAACACAACAAACTTGCTTTGGAGTAAATAGGCCAAAGCTTTATTATAAATATATAAATATTAAAACTTCAACTTTAACATAAACACTATATACATAATTACTTAGTAAATAGATACATCACTGAAGGCCACTTTGCCAACCAAACGTAACTTAGGGCAGCTGCCCCCTCTACCCTCAATCCAACCAGTATAAGGCCTTTACTTGGGCCTTCCATGACGTAATGCTAACCACTAGCCATTTATTGGCTAAGTGGGCACGTCCATTATCCATAACTGTACCTGAGGTTAGGGGAGGGAAAGCCCTAGCCATGCACTTTCCATGGACTGCTGGTCCAAGCCCCCGGTTGACAAGGGCCATATACCGCCACACGCCCGCTGGACGACCACATGCCCGCAGAACTCTCACAGGCTCGCTAGGCACCCAGGTAGTCTGCTGGGCACCCAACATGCCCACTGGGCAACCAAGCTGTGACAGACAAAACACACAGACAAACAAATATGAAACAAATAAGAGGAGGGAGGGTGGGAAGCTCTTACAAACTGATAATTAAGATGGCTGCTATCCCATAAGATGGCAACCTAATTATGCTATCCCACCCATCTACCACTTACTACTCCACCCCCTGTTCCAGAACCACTTTACCACATTCCTCTGTATACACTACCAGGGCCGTCTTTAACACGGGGCAAACGGGGCAGCTGCCCCGGGCCCTGTCCCTGCTCGGGGGGCCCAAGACAGCTGCTCCGTTTGCCCTCTGCCTGCAAACTATGGGAGCCCATCGGGTGGCCCATGCACTTAGGGCCACCCGGTGGGCCTATGTCAGCAGAGGCCCGGTCGGGCGCTGTGGCGTTTTAACAGCGCGACCGGGCCCTTGCTTTTCGGCAGCACTGGGAGGAAGTGACAGCCGTGCGTCACTTCCTCCCACAGAAACAGGAGCCGCGCAGGGAGGAAGGCGGACCAGCTGTTCCGGACGGGGGAGAGCTTAACTCCCAGTCCACTGGACCCCAGGGAAGCCACCCTCCAGTAAAAGGTAAGAAACTGGAGGGTGGTTATCACATTTTGCATGAGTGTCTGTGTGAGTGTGAGTATGTATGTGTGTATGTCTGTCTGTCAGTGTATGTCTGTTAGTGTGCCACTATGTCTGTCAGTGTATGTGTGCCAGTATGTCTGTCAGTGTATCTGTATGTCTGTGTGTTTTAGTATGTCTGTCTGTGTGTATGTTTTCCAGAATGTCTGTCAGTGTCCGTGTGGCTCTGTATGTCTGTGTTTGTCAATATGTCTGTCAGTGTCTGTGTGTATGTGTGTTTTAGTATGTATGTCTGTCAGTGTATTTGTGCCAGTATGTCTGTCAGTGTGTCAGTATGTCTGTGTGTGTGAGTCTGTCAGTGTCTGTGTGGTTCAGTATGTATGTGTGTATGTGTGTTTCAGTATGGCTGTCTGTGAGTGTCAAAATGTCAGTATGTGTGTATGTCTGCCAGTGTCTGTGTGTATGTGTGTTTCAGTATGTCTGTTGTGTGTACGTGTGCCAGAATGTCAGTCAGTGTGTCAGTATGTCTATGTGTGAGTCTGTCAGTGTCCTTGTGGTTCTGTATGTCTGTGTTTGTCAATATGTCTGTCAGTGTCTGTGTGTATGTGTGTTTCAGTATGTCTGTGTGTATATGTGCCAGTATGTCTGTCAGTGTATGTGTGCCAGTATGTCTGTCAGTATGTCTGTGTGTGTGAGTCTGTCTGTCAGTGTCTGTGTGGTTCAGTATGTATGTGTCTATGTGTGTTTCAGTATGGCTGTCTGTGAGTGTCAAAATGTCTGTATGTGTGTACGTCTGTCAGTGTCTGTGTGTTTCAGTATGTCTGTCTGTGTGTATGTGTGCCAGAATGTCTGTATGTCTGTCAGTGTGTCGGTATGTCTATGTGTGAGTCTGTCAGTGTCCGTGTGGTTCTGTATGTCTGTGTGTATGTGTGTTTCAGTATGGCTGTCTGTGAGTGTCAAAATGTCTGTATGTGTGTACGTCTGTCAGTGTCTGTGTGTTTCAGTATGTCTGTCTGTGTGTATGTGTGCCAGAATGTCTGTATGTCTGTCAGTGTGTCGGTATGTCTATATGTGAGTCTGTCAGTGTCCGTGTGGTTCTGTTTGTCTGTGTGTGTGTGTGTTTCAGTATGGCTGTCTGTGTGTGTCTCTGTGTCAGTACGTCTGTCAGAATGTGTCTCTGTATCTGTATGTTGTCCGTTTGTGTTTGTGTGTGTATCTGTATATAGTCAGTGTGTATCTGTATGTGTCAGTGTTTGTATCTGTATATCTGCATGTGTGTCAGGTTGTGTATCTGTGTGTCTGTATGTGTGTCAGTGTGTCTATATGTAGTCTGTGTGTATTTGTATGTTCTTGTGTGTATCTATATGCGATCAGTGTGTATCTGCATGTGTGTCAGGTAGTGTATTTGTGTGTATCTATATGCAGTCAGGGGGCCCAAGTAAATGCTTGCCCAGGGTCCAATCAAAATTAAAGACGGCCCTGTACACTACCCTCACACTCACACGTCCCTGTTCTTCCTAGGCCTTGCCTGGTTCCTCATGATCTTATCCAGCCTTGTTTAATGCTTTGTGAGCTCATAACTGTTTTAGAGATTTGATCTGAGCGAACTTGTCACTGTTTTTAAAGGAATGGACGGCTCTAACTAATGCTTCTGTTTGCTGTCAAAACATCTGCTAAAATAGGTGAAACAATACCTCTTGACATCAAACGATGATTAAAAAAATATTAAAGGACTGTATTACAATGTGTCATGATACCCAGTGACCCAACACGCTGTATATATATGATAATAGTTAGGCAACGTTTACCAGTCCTTAGAATGGCCAGATTATACGTTGTTAGAAAAAGAATGGTCAGGGACAAGCCAAGTCAGGGAAGCCCGAAATCAGGGAAGAGAAAAAAACAATAGCTGAGTCACAGGAGAACAGAACGGAGAATAGTCAGAATAAAGTTGAGATCAGAACCAATACAAGCCATACAATTTCAAGCCATCCAATCACAGTGCTCTGTGTCATTTTACACAGCGTGGGAAAGTTATTTTGAATTTTCCCACGCTGTGTAAAATGACAAAGAGCACTCTGATTGGCTTAAACCAGCCAATCAGAGTGTTCTTAGCCTAATTGCAGGGCGTGGCAAGGCTTTATAAGCCTTCCCCCGCCCTGCAGAGCTCAGTCTTCGCAGAGCTCTCCATGGGTGAAGATGGATCATTTTTTTGTTCACTCGTTTTTTTTTTTGGTTTTTTTTTAATTGCGTCGGTTCTTATGGCTTTTTATTTTGCCTTTTTTGGGGCTGAAAAAAAGAAGATTGTAGAAGAAAGAAAATATCAAATGGTAAGTTATTTTTATCTAATTTTTTTTTTACAGGTTTTTAGTTAAAGGTCCCCCCCTCATTATTTTTAGGGTGAGGGGGGTAGGTAGGGAGCTCATTTTTTTTGGGGGGGAGGGGTAACTAGGGTCCCCCCCTTTGTATTTAGGGCCCCCACCCACCGCTCAGGGGTGGGGGACGGGGGGGACAATAGGTCCCCCCTTAATGTTAATTTTAGGGCCCCCACCCACTGCTCAGGGGTGGGGGCCGGGGGGGGGACAGTAGGTCCCCCCTTATTGTTATTTTTAGGGCCCCCACCCACCGCTCAGGGGTGGGGGCCGGGGGGGACAGTAGGTCCCCCCTTATTGTTAATTTTAGGGCCCTCACCCACCGCTCAGGGGTGGGGCCCGGGGGGGGACAGTAGGTCCCCCCTTATTGTTATTTTTAGGGCCCCCACCCACCGCTCAGGGGTGGGGGCCAGGGGGAGGAAAATAGGTCCCCCCCATTAGTATTTAGGGCCCCCACCAGGGGGGACCCTTTTTTTTTTAACAGTGAGCAGCCACAGGCTGCACACTGTTTAATAGACATGCCCCTACTCGCGGTATTGCGAGTAGGAGCACAATTTACTAATACTAAGTAATTTTTACTTAGTATTAGTAAATTAATAGGGGGCGGACCGAACATTGCATATGTTCGCCATCCGTGGCGAACGCGAACACGCTATGTTCGCCAGGAACTATTCGCCAGCGAACCGTTCGGGACATCACTACATCCTAGCACTACTCATTTTGGCAAAAACAGATGAAACAGGGGGATAACAGGGCATTCTAAGCACCAAAACATCATGATCAAAGCTTAACAAATTGGTTCTGTTGGATAGATCATGCCTAAGCATTCTCACTGCTCAATTCACTGCGATTTTAAGCGTTAGATCATTATGTTTCTGTTTATGAAGCTCTGTAAATTGAACATACATCACACACAGGGTGCTGTTGCTGGCTCTAGCAAGCTATTAACATCGCAGAAGAAAACAAATTCTAAATTAAACAGAGTGTGCAATAACGGAATTTTAGAAACAAAATAGAGTCTTTTTCAGTGTGTAGAGTGGCTGTGTGAGTCACAGCCAGTGGAGGCATGGCTAAGGCTGCATAAACAAGGTGATTGGAGTCCTAAATAAAAGAGAAATTATATGTGAAGGCCTGAATTATACACCAAAACCACTTTATTGAGCTATAGCTGTTTCAGTGTTTAGAATTTTTCTTTTAATTGCTCAAATTTATTGCACATACCAGAAATCCTGCTACGTTATCCCTTATCTATATTACAGCACAAGCGTAATAATAGTTAATCATACTACCAATAGTTAAATGTCACTTCAGATATTCAGAAAGCACATCACCAGAATGGAATGCTGACATGCATCTATGTATTGTTCCCTGTTCCTTCAGGAACAATATTCTAAGATTCTTAATCTGACATGTAGTCAAACGATTAGACAAAGGCCCAACAATATTGAATGCTATTTTGTGGAGCTACTCTTATGTAACTCTTTATAGTGAATGAGTAAGGAACCACAGACAAAATGACATATAGTGTTTATTAAATTATAAAACTGTACCAATGGCTTAATTGCTTTTGTTTCACTACTATAAATAGAAGCTATGAATCATTTTGTAATCGTATACAAAATGTTGCACAATTTTAAACTGGTTTTAATATTTTATCCCTTTTACTATGAAAGTGTGTCTTGTCTTATTAGTTTATATATCTGTATGTGTGTGTACGTGCATGTGAGCCTGCGACTATTACATACATTGTGTGTAAATTTACAGTAAACGTTTTCACAGAATTATTTTTACATTTATATTTTGTTTTTTGTAAAAGCTCACAACATATTACATTCTGCTTGATAAAAGTAATAAAGTGATCATCTCACCAGCAGTGATAATTCCACCAGCAAGGCCGCTTAAATGTTAAACTGACATAAACAGACAATTAACTTGCCATATTTTAATTGCTTTAAATAAAGAGCTCAGATATATACAAAGAGCACCTACTGATGTAATTATTAAAGGTGCACTCAATGTACCATAACAACTACAGAGTGCTGTAGAGATTATGGTGAAAGGAATGTCCTAGTGCCCCCAATATAAATAGTTAGACCAGGGAGCAGCATCCAGCAGAGCACATGTGCACAATCGAATTTAAACTGTTCTAAAACTAATGACACCATAACCACAACAGCACAATTTAGTGGTTACAGTTCTTGTAAAGGTAAAAGAGATCTATGTACCTTTTAATATCTGCCTCTTGCACATTTTTTGCAGGTTTCACCCTCCGCTTTGTGAAAATTGATGTGTTACTGAAAGTGCCAGCCAAGACTCTATCTCACTTTACTACACTCTAAGGGGAGACTGCTTCTTGTACATGGTCTCTATACTCACAGCAGCTTTTGCTGAAATTAGAGATACCAGTAAGCAGATATAGAAGAGTAACACAACATAAAAATAAAATAACCTTTTCACTCATCTCCCTGCTGCTTTATGACACAATGTAGCTTATGTTTGTGTATTTTAGGGACTCTCCTTCTAACTTTGTTTATTATCTAACTTTTTGTTTATTATGTCAGGTTAGATATCTGATCCCATTCAAAACCAGCCAATACCTTTTCTTGTGTAACAATTGGGCCTCAAACCAAAATGCTCTATTGAAGGTTTATGAGAAAAGTCATTACAAAATGACTTTTCAATCACTATTAAAGGACCTCTATAGGCACCCAGACCATTTCAGCTTAATGAAGTGGTCTGGGTGCCAGGTCCAGCTAGGTTTAACCCTTTTTGCTGTAAACATAGTAGCTTCTGAGAAACTGCTATGTTTACCTATGGGTTAATCCAGCCTCTCGTGGCTGTCTCATTGACAGCCGCTAGAGGCGCTTCCGTGCTTCTCACTGTGATTTTCACAGTGAGAAGATGCCAGCGTCCATAGGAAATCATTGAGAATGCTTTCCTATGGACTGGCTGAATGCACGCGCGGTTCTTGCCGTGCATGCTCATTCAGCCAGGGACGTTAGAAGAGGGAGGAGAGTCCCAGCGCCAAGGGAGCCCAGCGCTGGAAACAAGGTAAAGGATTAACCCCTTCCTCCCCCACGGGAGGCACCCTCAGGGCACAATAGTGCCAGGAAAACGAGTTTGTTTTCCTGGCACTATAGTGGTCCTTTAAATCTCCCACATAATAAAAAACAAATGAAAAATTCTCATTTAAAATATTTATTTATAAAATATTTTACCAGGATGGATACATTGAGATTTTTCTTGTTTCCAAGTATCTCCTGATAACATTAAAAAAATTCCCCTTATTTGGTGGCAATAACATAATATAATATAATCAAACTTTTATTATAATTTGTGGCATGGGTAGGAGAAAGCAACTAATGTACACAGTTATATAACCCGGAACTCCTTATTATATCAGCAGGGTAAGGTAACTTTACAGGCTCCATTTGACACTGCTTATGTAAGAATTTTGTTGGGGGTTACGGGGAGTCATAACCTATACTGTTAGGGGATAAAGTTATAGGGACATAAAATGTAGGATTTAGGATTAAGAGGGACTTTGGTTTCTGAAATGCTTGCCTACAATAAGATGGTGTGGACTATAACTCCCATGATTTTCACTCAGAAGAAGCCAATATCGAACTCTCCTAGCCCTATTTGTAATTCTTCTAACAGTAATCCTCAACCTGAGCTGTTATTTCCTATTAAGCCCATTTCTTTGCCCCTGTCCAGCCCGACTTAATTTTACTCCATATTCTATATATTTCATAAGCACTATTGTAATAAAAAAATTCAAGAAAATGAAGTCCAACAATACTATAATGATACAACAATATATTATAATATCATTAAAAAAATGCATATCAAACAACACCAGCAAAAATAAATGTGAATTATATGTTTATGCATGCTTACCATTTATCGAAGCCCATATATAAACACCTAAAGGACCCAGAAATGTCAGATATGGATTACTGACACTGTTTAAACATGTCGTCGCTGATCCCAAGAAAGAACATAGTAAGCCCACCACTAGAATCAATATTACCAATATTTGAATGATATGCTGGGAGTCACCTGGTTTCAACAACTGTAGAACTGAAAAAGAAACACAATGAAATACATATATATAAGACTATCTCACTTGTTTCAGATTAATTAACAGTTGGGTGAGTTAAAAGCTATCATATGCTAATAATCGGAATGTTAAACACTGTTGATGTTGGCGTGATCACAGTCTCGCCATTCCTGTGCTTTTCGAGAACATTACCATTGTCGAATTAGACCTAAAAGGGGTCCGTTACTTCCCAGAATTTGTAATATGTTTACTTATCCTTCTATTGAACGAATAAGTGTTTGTCTAGAATATAAAATTAAATATAGAAATTGACACTGCTCTATTCTGAAACTGAGTGCCTCCATCTCTGTGCTCCTGTCAATCATTTCAGATAATGAATATAGTAATTAGAGGTGGACAAATAGAACATGTGCTAAACATATTTTCAATACATCCTTCACTGTCCTTTCACATTGCCTATACTCTCCCTTTCAGTTTATTTTATGTGAAAATGTTTAGAGAAGCTATGGCAATTAATATTGCTTAAATGATTTATAAAGTGCATGCATATGTCTGGTGAGTGAAATAAATAAGGAGAATAATTTACCTTGGTGAATGACTAATTGTGTGTCGAGTCCTCCATTATCTATTTTTTCATGTCTTACTTGGAATAGGCCATATGACAGCAAAGCGTAACCGCTACCATTTGATTTATCAAAATTAACTTTGCTCGATACCCAGGACTGGGTTCCCAAAGATGTGCAAATAATTGCAAATGATCCAATGCTTAGAACAAAACCAGAAAAGAACAATAACGTCTTCTGTTTTGAAGGCATGTCTTCTGCATGTGTTTGTATTCCCAATGTTTTCTAATAAATCATCCACGCAGTTACTCGGTGAGCCTTTCCCTCTTAGTGACAAAGTTAAACTGGGTTTCACATTGTAGCTGGTTTTCCAAATGAACCTTGAACTGGCAGAGGCAATAAATATTCCTGCTAATTGAACTCCGATCTCTAGAACTATGTTGCCATAGATACAGAATTCAGGAGAGATATAAGGAAAACACAAGCAGGATCATAAAATGGCTGCCTCTTCGTATCTTTTATACAAATCGATTATTTGGCATACATGAGCAACTGTTGCTTTTAAAAGAAATTTGTGAGGTTGTTTATTTCTCTTATATATTGTCGTATTTGTACAAACAGCATTATATAATATATATTATATGGCAATGTTTAAGTCAATTTTATGTTTTGTTGTTTTATAATTTTCAGCTTTTGGGTACATTTTAGACTGTGTAGAAAGCAGTTCTGTGCTTAAATGGTAAATAATAATCGAGAAAACCAATGCAAATTCCCAGAATGGAAAATTATGGTGAACTGACAAGGAATTGCAAATGTGATAGGGTGAGTGTGGCAGAGTGAGGGCAAGTGAGTGTGGCAGAGCGAATGCAGCTGAGTTTGGTATGGTTGGAAGGGGCAGAGAGACAGGATTAGGAGGGTGAAGAGTGAGGGCAGGTGAGTGTGGCTGGGGCGACAGGTGAGGGCAGGTGACAGTGTGTGGAGAGGGGGTGACAGTGTGTATGGGGAGGCTGTGTTTCAGTGAACAGCCTCCCCACACTGGATAGCTTCAAATACCTTTTTTCCCAAGTGATCAATTTCCTGGTGGTCCGGTGGGATAGCAATCTGTTCTGCAGCTCCTCCATGGGCTGAGCTGCAGACCACATGATAAGAGCCTCACGAGCCCCAGTCAGAACGTTGCAGAGATCACAAGACATCTATCACATGGTCTGCAGCTCAGCATCCAATGGAGCTGCAGACAGCAGGCACTGGCTCTCTCCCTCTATGGGCAGACTGCTAGGAGGGGCCTTGCACCAGACGGCCCTATCTCGGAGTCGGGCCCGCAATCCCAGACCGAGGACCTGATAGATCAGTCTGCCATAGGGAGACTTTTATGTTTTAAAAACATCATATAAAAATAGAATATTAATCCTTTAGAAATTATACCTAATATTTGCATTAAACACACACTTAATTATACATAGGTTTATACGCTAAAGTCCAAAAGATTTCATACTGAATGGGGCAAAACATTAAACAATGCCTAGACTTTGCAAACCAGGCTCTAAACAAGCATGAATTTGCTCTAGATTTCACCTGGACCAAAAACGTATGTTTAAAATCAGGGCCCAGATTTTAAAAATGATTGGGGTTAGTTAGAGGCTTGGGTATCCCAAGCAATTCCCATAGGGGAATTGTCCCTAATCTTTGAGAGGGTGGGCAATATCATGTCCACCCCCTCCCTTTTGGTGTTAATACCACCCCTGAACACCATGGGTAGACATGCAATTGTTTTTGATTTTTAAATACCCATGGTGTCAGGACTTATCTTTTCGATCGGGTCCGTTCTTATATTTCCAGTATGCGGAACCGTCCCCGCCCCCTCTCTGACGCGGCTTTCTCAAGTCTTATAGAGAAACCGCGCCAGTTTCAAAATTGCTTAGTGATTTCTGTTTGTGACTTCCGCAATCACATTGCCGGCTAAGCTCTTCTTCGATAACTTTGTGTACCGAACCTTGGACTGTTGGACTGTTTAAACTGATTCCTGCCTTCTCATCTCCTCTGACTACGGACCGAATATTGGACTTCCCTCTCTCTAATTGCCAAGAACCGGACTGTTAGAAGTTTAACCACCCTCCAGGCTCAAACTAACCTGCCTTTGGAAGACAACTCCCAACAATCCTAAGTATTCCATTTAATACTTTCTCTGGGTTTTTGCATTACTAATGAACTGTAATCTGCTTGCTAAAAATCACTGCTACTAAAACACTGTTACTATTGCTATTGCCTTATGCTGTCAACTAACAACCTGCAAAATCCACGCAGGCTTAAAGCTACAGTAACCTTCTTAATTGAAGGATTTTCATTTCACACTCTATTAGAAATAAGAAAATTTCGGGGGCGGGACTTCCGGTCGCACCAAACGGTCGCATGCAGTGAGTGCTCCGTGACCGGACCGGCCTAAAACGCGGCATAAACAGCGGCAAACAGCCCACACCACCCCGCAAACGGCATCAAAGGTAAGGGGAACATCCCCCCACCCCAGCATGGCCCCTCCAAAAGCCCAGCGATCATCCGATTTTTTCCGGCAAGGAAAAAAAGAACGGCTCCGTTCCGACCAAGATGGCGGCGGCTCCCGCTCACCAACACACATGTCTGAAACAGGCTCTGATAATGAATCACGGCAAACCCCCACAGGGGATCTCTCTATCTCAGAGGTGAAATTAGCAGCTATGCTCCATGACTTGCGCACGTCTATGAAAACCGACTTTCAAGCAGTGGTCTCAGACCTGCGCAAAGACCTCCTGGAAGTGGGGACACGGGTGAATGTACTGGAGGAAAAAACTGATGAGCTGTGCCAAGCCAACGATGCAATAGTGAGCAGGCTGCAGCAACTGGAAAAAGACAACAGGCGCATGACGGAAAAAATGGCGGACTTAGAAGACCGCTCCCGCCGCAACAACATCCGCGTGCGAGGAGTACCGGAGAAGGTGACACAGGAGGATCTACCGTCCTACCTACTGCGCCTCTTTCAGGCTATCCAACCAGCCCTGGCACTAGCGGACTTACGACTTGACCGAGCACACCGGGTACCAAAACCCGCCAATCTTGCTCGAGATGTCCCTAGGGACGTAGTGACCAGATTACACTATTACAGCGCAAAGGAAGCAATCCTCACAGCGCAGAGAAAGGCATCAGAAATGCCACCTACATTTGAGGAGATATCACTATATGCTGACCTATCACCGACGACGATGTCCAGAAGACGGGACTTTATCAATGTTACAAAGTGCCTCAGAAACCACAAAGTGCCTTACAGATGGGGTTTCCCCACTAAACTCCTGATATGGCGCAATGGATCACTGACCAAAGTTGAAGACCCGATCCAAGGAATGGAGACCCTCAAATCCTGGGGATTATTTCCCACTGACAACGCTCCCACGACCCCAGCCCCACTGCGGAAAGTGGCCACAAGCTGGACAAAGGCCTGAGCAATGTCACCACCACGGCTCCTCCTAACATGGGCCGCTGCCGGCTTATTCTCCAAACCCTGGGGCACCCTTCGGGCCTACACCCGCCCTATGAACTGTGGCAACACCAAAGTTTTACATCTGCACGTGAGTACAGCTGTACCCTGGCCCTACCACGCTCAGCCACCTTACCACCAGCACCTCCCGCCACCCCATACCCCGGGCTGGCCGCCCCCCTCCCGGAAACCGGGAATGCTACCCAAGGGAGAGACTTATCTGGACTCACACCTCCAGGGGGGCGAAGGTCTCTTCCACCCCCGCCTCACATCTTCCTAGGCCCTAGAAGGCTATGATGAGACTCATGAACTGGCCTAGGCCCACACCCTTGCTACCTGCAACCTTCGCTGACCCCCCCCCCTGTGGGCCCCGGGGAATGTTTGCCCCACTCCAGCTACTCAGACATACCGGGTGATTGGACTGTGACAGGCGTTTAGGCCTCACCGAATGCTGAAGAACCCCCTCCCTCCCCCCCCCCCGAAGTTCTCTTGGGACACCACTCGCCGCTGCAGCCCCCTCTCAGAACAATAGAGGGTACGCGCTCGGCGGAGGCGTCCTCCCCATAATGCTTCTTAGCTATTTGCTCTGTATATACTTTGTTTATGTTGTATATTTTTGTTCCCACCGTTATCAGCTCTGTTATTTCCCATGCCCCGGCCCTACCTTTGAGATGCTCCCTTTCTACCATGAGCTAAGAGATGAAGTATCTGCCCAGGACCTCCCTAAGCCTTACTACGTTAAACCCATGAGACAACCTCAATCACCCAGATGTGCCCACGAGGCGCCCAACCCCCAATGCAATGAGCCCCCCTAGCAAGTTTCTCTTGGTGTCCCTGAATGCCCATGGCCTGAATACCCCACAAAAACGCAGACTGGCCCTGTCTCAACTGAAAGCCCTGAAGGCCTCGGTCGCATGCATACAAGAAACCCACTTTTCAGCCACGAACCCCCCAAAGTTTTCGGCCTCCTCATATCCACTAGCGTACCACGCCCTAGCGCCTAACAAGACAAGAGGGGTCAGCACACTATTCCACTCAGATTGGAGCTTCCAATGTGAAAGGGAATACAAGAGCCCTGACGGTAGGCTCCTGATCCTGGTGGGCCTCCTCAATGACGCACAGGTGACTATAGCAAACCTTTACGCCCCAAACGTCAACCAGTACGACTTCCTACGAAAGGCACTGAGAAAGGTTGACAAACTAAAGAAGGGACAGACGATGATATGCGGGGACTTTAACTGTGTGTTAGACCCTGACCTAGACAGATCAGGGACACCGGGCTCCCACCCAAGAGACAAGCTCCTAGGGGACAAACTGACGACGCTCCTCCATCTCCATAACCTGCATGACACCTGGCGGGCACTCTACCCAGCCTCTAGGGACTACACCTTTTACTCCAAGGTCCATGACCAATATTCGCGCATCGACATGTGTTGGGTCGACACTAAAACCCTGGATACCCTAGCGGAGGTCGCTATTGCCCCGATAACCTGGTCAGACCATGCCCCCCTCACATCATCATTTACCACACTACACCCAGTCCGAGGACGGGGGCAATGGAGGCTCAACGAGTCCCTCATAGATAACCCTGAGAGGGCCTCTGAGATCCAGAAATCACTAACACATTACTTCGAAGTCAATCACTACAATCACACGAGTGCCACCACGACATGGCTAGCCCACAAGGCAGTCACCCGTGGAGCACTCATACAGATGGGGGCAAAACTGAAGCGCCAACTATCTGAAAAAAGTGACTCCCTACTGAAGGACTTACAGTTAGCCGAATCACGACACAAAGCCTCACCCACTGAACCCCATAGACTCGAAG